GATGAAATGTAATGATGAGATTTGATGATGAAATATAATGAGGAGATGTGATGATGAGATATGTTGAGACATGATAATGTGATATGGGAATGAGACATGAAAATGTGATATGTGTTAATGCATAGAGTCTTGTTTGACATGCATCATTTGCATAAATGTTTTAAGGGTACGATATGGAATACACGTTGTTGTGCTTTTTTGTAACTAGGAACGACCCGTTCCGAATTTGGAATGGCCCGTTCTGGGCTACTTAACATTTTTTTTTTTGCTTCAAACTTCCTTGTTGTCACCTCCATACTTTGAGAGCTTCTCCTCTTTATAGTAGATGTCCATTTCATTATTTTTGTGAGTCCGGATAAAATTGATTATCCTCTACATAGTATATTGTGGGGATAGTTTATATACAAGGACATGTGACATCGGGACATAGATAGAATTAGAATATGATGTTGTTTATGTTTCATTAAAGTATATATTTTGGAAAATTCAATTTTTATTCTTTGTAATTTTATTTGCTATTTGGATTAAGTACATGAATGTGAATTCTCTACTCACATGATTATTGGAATTGTCGTTTCAATTTTAAATATTTTTTTTATCCAATAAGATATTTCTTTTTTATTATTATATATATATATATGTTGGGGTAAAGGGTGTCACACTTTTCTTTTATTACAATAAAGTTTAGATTAATGTGAGTGATGAGGTTTTTCGCAAACCCACCACTTGGCAAGTGAACCAAGTTTCGAAGTAGTATTCAAATATCGTCCTCAGGGATTTGAGTGTTTAGTAATTCTTGCTCTGATGATTTAAATGAGAATGATGTTAAAATTGCAAATGGGTAAAGATGGAGTAAAACAACACAATAAACTAAGAGTAGTAAAGACAATGGTTAAGAAACAAGGATTGGTTCAGAAGCACTTGCTAACTCATAGATCTTCTTAAAATACATGCGATTCTAATTCCATTATTTCCACGTTCATTAAGTAATCCAACAAGATTCCTCAAGGTTGAATCCTAAAGTCATTAAGCTCAAAACATGATTCCTCTATGTTTTGAGTTTAACACTTCGCATTAAGAACAATGACTTGAACAATGTGACTAACCAAATCAAGTCTATTCCTAGAACAAGAAATGATTAGGTGCAAGATTCAGTTCGGGTTTTCAAAAACGTTTTCCAACTGGATTCAAAAACCAAAAATATACAACGGGTGATCAAGTTTAGATTAATAAAGTTTAGATTAATGTGAGCCACAACTTTATATAAGATCAGAGTCAATCATCAACCTCTTTATTTTTTCTACATAAATTAAAATAATTTTTGAAGGATAATATGTTTAAATGAGAGTATTTAATAATTAGAAGTAATTTTATATTGCAATATAAACTATCGTTTTTCTATAGAAATTAAAATAATTTGATGACATCATGCCAAGGGACCAAATCCTAAAGGAGTCAAGAGAAGTGGGTTAAGCTTGAAGAAAGAAAGTTCAAGCTCTTATTAAACTTTGTGTCACTTTTTAGTAGCTTGCTTTCTCTTTTACGTGTATATATTCCCTTGTGAATATTTTCTTTATTTTGACCTTGTATTTTTGAGTCAAGTAGTGTAGGAATTCATTTTCTTGTAATTTCTATTTTTAGGGTGTAATTATTATTTTGGGAGGGATGTAACTAGAAAAAAGAGTTTTGGACTTATTGGACTTGAATGACTCATAAGAACATTTCTTGTATACATAGCCTTTGAAGTTGACATCCACTTGTGTGAGAATCAAGTAGTGGACATCCACCGGTGAGGAAACCAAGTGATTAGATGTCAACATTAAAAGAGGGATGATTTATTCAAGACTCTAATAACCCACATGACCTTATCAAGTCACACATTTAACATCTTATCATGTGACAAGCTCCCATTGATTCTTTTAGTTTTAAGATAGTGACATTTTTAGGAGGAAAATTCAAATTCAAAAATATAATTAGAATTGGTTAGCTTGGATAAAAGTGTCAAGTCTCCTTGTCTCTTAGGAGACAAGTAGGAGACACTTAGATCTAAAAGAGTCAATCCTAGAGTTGCAAGTGTCACCTTGTCCCCTTGACAAGCCAAGTGACAATGTGTGTTGAAAAAGCTTAAGCAACTCGGCTAAGGAAGAAGAATGGGCGATCAATTGTTTTTCTTCACTTAATCCAATCCAAAAAATGGGAACTGGTTTAGTTAGGTTCACTAAATGATGGTGAAACCTAGCTAAATCAATTCCTTGGATTAAATAGAGAAGAATCAACTTAATATGTAAAATTTGACCTAAGCCCATTAAAGGCCTAATTGCTAGCTTCACCTACATAATTACTACTTGCTACCCCACTACTAAAAAACTAAAAATATGAAAATCTATGACCCTTAATACAATTAACATGAAGTAAAAGTCTCCAAACAACATATCCTAAAATCGTAAGGGTATGACCTATAAAGAAAGATAAAGGTCCCTTATAAATACAAAGATAAAAATAAGTCTACACATGTATCTACTATGTCTAAGGGAAAATAACTCAAATTATACAAGATATGTATAATAGAGACTATGAGACTAAATAGAGAAAATATACTTAATTCTCATATAGAGCATAGGTTTAAGAAACACCTCCTTAAGCCTCCTAACCATGAACCTAGTTAAAGGTCTAATAATTTTCAAGTGTCAACTTCCCAAGGATGGTCCTCCATCATCTTTTTTACCCGTCATTAAGAGTGTCACGGACACTAGTGCTCATACCAATAGACACATTTATGTATTTATAAACCCTTGTTCCTCATCTTATTCTGATGATACGAGACTTTGATTGTATTTTAACATCTTTTTGTGCTTGAGAAATCTTGGTCTTCTTTCTTTCTTCCTAATTCTCTCTAAGATTCTTGCAATATTATCTTGTCATACATAACATCTTGCATCAAAAATAATTTTAAAGATTAGATCTTTAATCTTTTTTTTTTTTGAATGAAAATCAATAGTTCATGTTATTAAAGATCGTGGTTGGTTGAAAAACGTCTTAAAAGATTGCAAAATTTTGCAAATTCTATTCAATTCATTCCCTTTTGAATAAGTAATCTATTCTAACCACACATATCATGCCCAGTATATAAGTAAAATATTTTTCTTTTTCTAAAATATTATTGTCTTGAAAAGTAAAGAAAATGTATCCTTAACTGAATCAAAACTATATCATCAAAATAGCTGTAGGTAAAGTAATTAATTTTAAATCTTCCAAGCGTGGAAGTTTATTTATTTATTTCCAATTTAACTTATTATCTTATTGGGTAGTTTACATAAGATACATAGATAATTTTGTCCAATAAGGATTTTTTTTAAATAAAAAATGAACTACCTGTTAATTGTATTTTGAAGGCTTTGTTTCGGGATTGGAAGAACCCAACACAAATCTGGTATTTAAAAACAAAAACTACACTTCTTAAATCTGTTGTTGTATAACCGATTTTATATGTATCATATACAACATTCAAAGTCATATAAGCTCCATTATTACATAACAAATTTTTTTATGTCAACCACATACAAAATCGGTTATTAATAACTGATTTAAAATATGATCTTTTAAAATCGATTTAAAGTTCATACTTTCTAAATGGACTTTTTTAAAATTGAAAAAATTACTAATTTTAAAAGTAAAAAATAACTTGTTTTAAAAGCTTATTTTAAACTAACGAATATATCATTTATACATATAGTTATAGGTAAAGTAATTAATTTTATATATCTTCCTAATCTGGATGTTAATTTTTTTATTTCCAACTTAACTTATTTTCTTATTGGGTAATTATACAATTGATTATCATAAATAATAGGGAATTTAGAGTTTAAATATAAAAATTAAAATTAAAAAAAGGAAAATAGTCCAGGAATTTAAGGATATGCTTTCTTTCATGAATCTCCCTCAGTTTCTTCAATGTTAGAATTCACCATCAAACAAGTTAATTTTTAAATTACACTCTTTACTTTTTTTAAGGTAAATTTTACACCACTTATTTTATTGGTTACGTACGTGTCATGGCTGGAATTATAGAACTAACATTTTCTTTTATATTTCAACTACTTTCTCACTATGAATACATATTCATCCTTGTACATGTCCAAGATTTTCGGTTCTGGTTATGGATGCCTTGAGGTAAGGTTGTCCAATGATCATAGACACATAGATATCTAAATTGCTGATACGAGGGATTAACACGCAAATGTTAATGGTGATGATATTAAGAAAATTTTAAAATAGATTTGAAAACTTTAATCATGCCTCATGGTTTTTCCAATTGATTCTCTTCCTTTTCCTCAGCTACTAAGCAATTCTCTGATCTCAAGAATTCTAGGAAAAGTGTTATATTTCTCTGGACACATGAGAGAAAATGTCTGTACGTTGTGGATAAGGTTTGTTCTTTTCCTTCTCATTTTTGTTCTCATTGTTTTTTTGTTTTTCAGGCAAGCATATATAGAACTCTAAATTATTCATTAGTAATTCCTATCGATTATAATATACACATATTCAATCTAAATCAATTTTGGGGATTAATTGTTTTTACACCTGAAACTAAATTGTTTCTAATTTTCCATCAAGCCAGGTGATACAGAATTATCCGATGTAATCTGTATTAGCTAATGATACTAAACCTCTAGAACTACTTAGGCTATTTGGTTTACTGTTCAATGTGAAAAATCGCATTCAACGACAAAGTAATAAAATGTTGCTTTTATTTGGAAATGTGTGAAATCCCATTTGCAATGACACGAACTAGTTCTCAAACATGCATTTAATTGTTCATCTTGTTCTTGATATTTGTTTTATGACATGGATCAGGTTTCTTAAGCATGAATGATTACAAACTGGTGTCATTATTTGATGACCTAAACCAATCATCACACTGAATCTGGCTAGCTAGCTATGAGGAAGCGAATTCGCGAGAAAGAGGGTGCATTGTCTAATGGAAAT